ATATATATATATACATGTATATATATATATATATATATGCGTGTGTATGTACATGTATGTATATATCTTATAAACCCTCTTCTTATAAATCCTTTTCTTATAAATCCTCATACAAACCCTTATATAAACCCTCTTCTTATAAACCCTTGTATAAGCTCTTCTATAAACCTTCTTCTTACAAACCCTCACGTAAACCCTAATTAAAACCCTAATTTAAACCCTCGTAAACCCTCAGCAGGAGACCCTCTACAGGAAATGAGAGGCGCATACAATAACAACTCAACACGATTCAGGGGTTTAGGGTTTAGGGTTTAGGGTTTTAGGGTTTAGGGTTTAGGGTTTGAGGGCGTGCAGTGAAGGGTTTATCCTAATTTTGTTTGTTTAATGTATTTGGTTTGTTATATATATAATTGATAATTGATTAATTGATTTATATTATGTATCATTTTTAGGGTTTAGGGTTTAGGGTTTAGGGTTTAGGGTTTAGGGTTTAGGGTTTTGCTGATGATATGTTTGTTGTTTTGTAGACTCTGAAGAAATATTTATATCCGCTGGGTCTTCATCAGGAAGCAGAGAACGCATCATCACCAGCAGCAGTAGCAGCAGCAGCAGCATCAGCAGCAGCATCTGACCCGTCAGCAGCTGCAGCTGCAGCTGCTGCAGCTGCTGCTGCAGCAGCAGCAGCAGCATCAGCAGCAGCAGCAGAGCCGCATGTATTCGCAACAGGTAGTAAAGCATATTTAAATATGTGTTTAAATCTAAAGAGTCAAACAATTTTAATTAGTGGTGAGTCGGGAGCAGGAAAAACTGAGAGCACTAAATTCGTTATGAAGTTCCTCGCATGCGCAGGAAGCGATCATCTTGATAAAAGATCTACTGTAAGCCTACTCAAGGGTTTAGGGTTTAGGGTTTAGGGTTTAGGGTTTAGCAGGGTTTAGCAGGGTTTTGGACGGTTTTGGAGGGTTTAGGGTTTAATCCGGTCTTCGGGTTGAGCGTTTTATAGTTTTAGGGTTTAGGGTTTAGGGTTTAGGGTTTAGGGTTTAGGGTTTAGGGTTTATCATTGAGACCCAGTTTCTGAAATTGACTCCATTGCATTGATTCTTCTACACGAAAATATGTATTTTAACATTATTATTTACATTATAATATATTTATTTATTTATATTTATTTATATTTATTTATATTTATTTATATTTATTTATTTATTTATTATTGTTCAGGTGGAAGCGCAGGTGCTAGAGATAAAAGATCTACTGTAAGCCTACTCAAGGGTTTAGGGTTTAGGGTTTAGGGTTTAGGGTTTAGGGTTTAGCAGGGTTTAGCAGGGTTTAGCAGGGTTTAGCAGGGTTTAGCAGGGTTTTGGAGGGTTTAGGGTTTAATCGGGTCTTCGGGTTGAGCGTTTTATGGTTTTAGGGTTTAGGGTTTAGGGTTTAGGGTTTAGGGTTTAGGGTTTAGGGTTTATCATTGAGACCCAGTTTCTGAAATTGACTCCATTGCATTGATTCTTCTACACGAAAATATGTATTTTAACATTATTATTTACATTATAATATATTTATTTATTTATATTTATTTATATTTATTTATATTTATTTATATTTATTTATTTATTTATTATTGTTCAGGTGGAAGCGCAGGTGCTAGAGTCAAACCCTTTGCTGGAGGCGTTCGGCAATGCATGTACACTTCGTAACGACAATTCTTCTCGCTTCGGGAAGTTTATTGAAATGCAGTTCAAATTACAAAATCAAAGCAGCAGCAGCAGCAGCAGCAGCAGCAGCAGCAGCAGCAGCAGCGGGCCGCTCAAGTATAGGGGGAGGTAAGGATGAGGGTTTTGCTAGCTGATGTTTTTATTACTTTTTCGGCTTTTGTTTTAGTCTTTAGGTTATTTATTTATTTATTTATTTATTTATTTATTTATATATTTATTTATTTATTTGTTTATTTGTTTTATTTTTGTTTATTTGTATATTTTGTTCATTAGTTTATTTGTTTGTTTATTTGTTTATTTGTTAGCGCAATACGCCGAACAATCACTTTATGAATTAACTAGCAGCAAATAAATAAATAAATAAATTAATAAATTAATTTAATTTGTTTATTTTATGTCTTCAGGTTGTGCGGCGCTCGCATTCAAACATATCTGCTGGAGAAGGTTCGAGTGTCTGTACAGCAGGAAGGAGAGAGAAACTTTCATATATTTTATCAGTTATGTGCTGCTGCTGCTCGAGCGCAGCAGAATGGGGGTATATACACTTTAAATCCTGCAGCAGCAGCAGCAGCAGCAGCAGCAGCAGCAGCAACAGGAACCACAGGCATTGCCCAGCTCCAAGCCGATACAACAGATCCAGCAACTGCAGCAGCAGCAGCAGCAACAGCAGCAGCAGCAGCAGCAGCAGCAGAACCTCTTCGTATTGATATGAGTAGATACGAACCTCGTGAAAACTTTAAATATTTAACCTGCAGCAGCTGCGCTCAGCTGCAGGGTGTAGAAGATGAAGAAGCATTTGCTGCTACAGCAGCAGCAATGCAGATCCTACAGCTGCCTCAACCGACTATTCAAAATATCTGCGATGTTGTTGCTGCTGTTCTTTGTCTAGGAAATATATCTTTTGTCCCGTCAGAGACAGACAGTGATGCTGCTGCTGTCTCTTCTGCTGCTGCTGCTTATTTAAATAAAGCAGCAGATTTGCTGTCTATACAACCCAATGCTCTCGAAGAGGCTCTCTCCTTCCGCTCTATCAAAACAACAACAGAAATACTCAAGTCAGACTATTGCTCTCATCCTGCTGCTGCTGTTGCTGCTACTACTACTGCTTGTGCTAGTGCTGCTGCTGCTACTGCTGCTTGTGCTAGTGCTGCTGGTAGTGCTGTTGCTGATGCTGCTGCTGCTGATTGTGCTGCTGTTAGTGCTGCTGCTGCTGCTGCTTGTCCTAGTGTTGCTGCTGCTGCTCTTGCTGCTGCTGGTGCTGCTGCTAATACTTCTGTTTTTGCTGCTTGTCTTTCTGCTGCTTATGCACATAAATACAACTACATTCATACATGTATATGTACATAATATTGATATTTATATGTTTATTTATTTATATTTCTATATTCTTATTTGTATAGGAAGCCTTTACGCCCTGAAGAAGCAGCAGAAGCACGAGATGCCTTGGCTCGTGCGGTGTATGGGCACCTCTTTCATCAAATTGTGCAGCTTACAAATAAAAGCATTGGATTTGTTTCTAGTGCTGCAGCAGCAGCAGATGCAGCAGCAGCAGCAGCAGCAGCAGTAGATGCAGCAGCAACAGGAGATGCAGATACAGCAGCAGCAGCAGCAGCAGCAGCAACAGGAAGACGACGATTAGAGAAGGAAGAAGCAAAGATATTATTTTGCGGTGTATTAGATATATTTGGTTTTGAATGTTTCGCGAAGAATTCCTTAGAACAACTTTGTATAAATTATGCGAACGAGAGGCTGCAGCAGTTTTTTAATTCTTTTGTATTTCTTTGTGAAGAAGAATTATATAAAAAAGAAAATATACGTTGGAGCAGCTTAGACTTCGCCGGGAATGATGCATGCGTTTTGCTGCTGCAGCAGAAGCCCTACGGTTTATTTGCTCTTCTAGAAGAAGAAGGGTTTATACCTGGCGGAAGCAGCAGAGGATTTTGTAATAAACTTATTAAAAGATATGCTCCTAGCAGCAGCAGCAGCAGCAGCAGCAGCAACAGCAGCAGCAACAGCAGCAACAGCAGCAGCAGCAGCAATGATCCTGCTAGCCGCTTCGGCGTAAATAAGAGGAAGCAGAATTGCTTTATAATTAAACATTTTGCAGGCGATGTAGAGTATTGTACTGATGGATTTGTCGAAAAGAATAAAGATATATTATCTGTAGATCTACAAGAAGCAGTTGCTGCTTCAACGAACGCCTTCATAGCCAGCCTCTTTTCTCCTACCCAAGAAGATCAGCAGCAGCAGCAGCAGCAGCAGCAACAGCAGCAACAGCAGCAACAGCAGCAACAGCAGCAGAGGCGTCGTAAGGGTCAAACAGTATGCGGAGCATTCGGAGAGCAGCTGCATAGTTTGATGAGTGCAATTGAGAAGACAGAGCCGCACTTTGTCCGATGTATTAAACCAAATGCAGATAATAGACCTGATATATTTGAACGACATTCTGTAAACGAACAGCTAAAGTGCGGCGGTGTACTTCAAGCTGTTCAAGTCTCTAGAGCAGGCTATCCGATTCGTTTGCTGCATGCAGAAGCTATTCGCGAATATAAGCCTTTAGCTTCTCCTAAACTGCAGCAGCAACTCCTCACCATGCAGCAAAACCAGCAGAAGCAGCAGCAGCAGCAGCAGCACTGGAGGGAAGCAGCAGGATTGCTGCTTCAAGAATTAAATATTGCTTTCAGCTTAGGACCTGCTAATGCCTCTCTCTCTGGAGGCGATGAGGGGTCTACTTGGGCTGTCGGTGAGACTTTATGTTTTTTTAAAAGAAATGCATTTGCTGCTTTATCTGAAGCAATTGCTGCTAAACGAGCTGCTGCAGCAACAATGCTGCAGGCTAGATTCAGGGCTTATCAGCAGCAGCAGCAATTCAAGTACCTTAAAACTAAAGTTATTTTAATTCAAAGACATGTCCGGATCTTTCT